ATAATTATCTGAAAGTTGAAATCAATAAGACCACGAAATGAATTCAGTAGGCTTATAAAACCATATTCGGCACTGCATGTCGCTTACAAAATACGGTCAATCCACTTTACATTACATTCTGTGAAGCTCTTTGAGGCGTCTCAACAACATAATAGGCGCTGTGACAAATCCAACGATTATTATTATAATATTTGGTGACACCACAGGCAAAATGTTACACTATGTCCCAAAACATTCAGTGGTTTAGAGAGGCTTTCACACTGATGTCCTCGTTGTTTTACAAAGGTTTAGTGTGAACGGCAAAATCTTCTGTGTGCCTTTTTTAAAAAAAGCCCGTTACACACCATTTAAATGCTGGATAGATAGAACATTTTTTTAATGCTGTACTGTCCTTTTACGTGTGGTATTTGGGTTGAACATTTCCTCAGCAGTTGCAAGACTTGCCAATTCGGGTTCGGGGCACAACTGATTCCAATTATAATATTGAAATTCTGTGCATGCTCAGTTTAACAAGGAATTACAAAAACTAAATGTTTTTACAACAATAATAGTTGCAATTGATATAGAGCCTCATCTCGCCATTGACGTCTCAAAGTTCTTCACAGATTATATCGCAAAGTGAATTAACTGTATATTTTGTGGCCGAAACCCGGCAGCCAACTGCGCACAGCAGTGCCCCGCAAACAGTCGTGGATTGAGCTTCCAAATTATTAGTTCAATTAATAAATAATAAGTTTAAATAATACTTTTATTCAAGCAAACATTTCCTCACCCCACACTTCCAGCCATTGTGAGCAGGTGAATTGTCATTTCAAAGGAGACATCAATGCTGCAAGTGTGATTTGACCAAAAAATAACTTCTGAGTTTATTCCACATTTTCAGCAATTAGGTTTTCCCCCCTCCCCTAATCTTAACCAACAAACAGAATTGGGGGAGGGGAAAGAAGTAAAAAAAGGTAGAAGCAAACCAGGAGTGGTGGCTAAGACAAAATAAACTATTAAATTTAAGTCACTATACTTTGGTTTACTTTGCTAACAACTGATTCACACTGGATCCTATAAATCCCACTTATCCATTTATAAAGCAGATTCAATAAGCTCTTGTTGTTCTATTTGACAAGACATTGCTGTCAAACATTTAAAGAAATAAGTGAACATTCCTGCAAACAATAATCTACAATTAGGGGGCAATAAAAGCACACTGTACAACATGGAACAGACCGGTTCTATCACAAAAATGCAGCAATGTTTAAAGCTCTAAGATTGCAATGCAAATTTGGGTGGTCATCAATAATCAATACTACAATTGTGCTGTCTAATTGCAATTTTACTTATATTAGTACACAAGCCCCACTCATTGAGGAGTTCCACTTTTAGCTCATACCATATCATTCCAACCAAGATGCCAACCAAGGGTTTGAAGGGACATGAAAATATCTCAGTAATATCTCACTTTCATCTCTTCCTTCCCATTGAAAAATCACCCCAACTCCACTGCGTATCCACCCAGAGCAAAGGTAGCTAAGATTCAACACTCAGCAATGTGGGATTATGAACATTAACTCAAAGGCCACCACCTCTACAGACTGAAACGTGATCTCCTTTATGATGCATCCAGGAGTCATGCAAAAAAAACATTTTCAAACTGAATAATAAAACGTGAGTCACATCAAACGTCATTGCAGAGAACCTTGTGCATACCTATACGTTAACAGTCTTCCAATATAACTATTCTAACCTATTCTAACAATGAAGTTTCCTTCCATTTATAAATCAATTGCTTTGCAAAGAAATGTACAATTTCTTACAAAAACCTGGATAAAATATCAGGAAGTGGAACCCACAGCACATTGTCACAACATACAGCTGCTCTTATCTATTTTGCCACATATGCATAAACCAAGCACAATCCTTCCACTTTACTCCTTGCATGCCAACATTAACAACAAAATTACATTTGTATAGCGCCTTTCACGTCGGGAGGTCGTCCCAAGGAGCTGGGGCTCAGCATCGGGGAGGGTGGAAGGCAGGTGGGGAAGCGGGTGATCGAAAGCAAAGTCGAAGAAGAGGGTCAAGATGGGTCTTGAAGAAGACAAGGGAGGGGTGAGGCGGAGGGACTGCGGGATGGAGTTCCAGAGGGTGGTGGCAGAGTGGCAGAAGACCTGCCCGCCAATGGTGGGGCGGGCAAGACGGGGGTACGTGAAGCAGGCCGTAGCCTGCTGAGCGGAGGGTGCGGGCAGGATGGTAGAGGGTTGTGAGATCGCAGAGGTAGGGGGGAGCAAAGCCATGGAGGGCTTTGAAGGTGAGGACTAGGATCTTGAACTGTATCCTCTGTGTGATTGGAAGCTAATGGAGTCAGGCGAGGATGGGGGCGATAGGCTCACGGAGCCCGGTGCGGGAGATGATACGGTCTGCAGAGTTCTGGATGATCTGCCAGTCATTCTTTGCTTTGTTTTATAATAAAACACTTAAGGTTTACTCAGACAATTGTTTTCTATCTTACTTGTACACAAGGTGGGGGGGGGGGTTTCCTCACGTAAATACTACAAGAGGAAAAAGAAAATGTTACTCAGTAAAGACATTTCAGGGAGTTTCCATAATACATAACTATCTTACAGGATCAGATTTCACAAAATTAAACCTGTTAAGAATACACTCACTATAACACAGCATCTTCACACGATTGGAAACTTCACAGCATAATTGTTTTCGCACATTTCTATCAAGTACGAGCAAAATAACCCAGAAACACAAGAGTGGAATTGAGAAGAGAATCGTTCAGAGAAGTAACTGTGCTCCAAAGCCACTACAACAGACAATCACACAAAGAAGTCCAAATCATTGCACACAACTAGTTTTCCTCAATAAATTCCCTACATACCTTGATATTGAATTCCCCACACACCTCGACTACCGCATCCACCTACAAAAGTCTCTAAAATTTACAGTAAAATCCTGTGAATCACCTTGATACATCTCAATGATAATAATCTTTGCATTTGATATAGAACTTATCACGTCCTTAAGATGTCTCAAAGCGCTTCACAGAATATATTGTAAAGTGAATTGACTGTATACTTTATATATCAGCACATAATATGGGAACTATATTAAATTCTTGTATTATTAACTGAGGCAATTTGTAAGCCAATGTAACTTGACAAAAACTCACTTCTACAACAGGAAACTGCAGAAGTACACCCCAAGCACTTATCCGAACCACCAAACCTAAAAAAACACTACACAGGAAAGCTCACACACTAATAAAATTTAGCAGGCATAGTATACTTGTCCACATTCACGGTATACTTTGAGAATTATATGAAACACGAGTACTTAGTGTAACTTTACAATTTCTTTATACCATCCTTTATGAAAATCTTCAATACCGCCGTGCCATTTTATCGAATGCAATGCGTTTTAAAACCAAGTCAGACAGAATGCACAGGACTATCATCATTAAAAAATATTACACACAACCTCACTTTAGTAACACAATAAGCACCAATACACACAAGAGAAATGGAGGAGCTACTTGAAAACTTTTAAACTTTAAGACAGAAGCCAATACTTCACCCAACTACTGAAAATACAGCACTGTTTATTTTTATTGGCCTACAGGCACACTTCACAGTAAAATCCTGCGAAGCACTTTGAGACGTGATAAAGCATTGTACCCAACAAAAAAAAAACTGATGAAAATTATTTCCAGATTTCCAGCTCATTCCATCTGTAAAGACTTTATTCCCATCTTCCTCTCTCCCTATTTGGGATTTAGTCTCACCCCTCCTTTCTCTGACAATACACACTTAAAGTATAGTACGAGGCGGCTACTGTGATACTTCACAGAATTTCAGATGAGACGTTAAACCGAGGTCCCGTCTGCCTGTTCAGGTGGGCGTCAAGAAATCCCATGGCACGACTTGAAAAAAAGAAGGGAATTTCTCTCTCTCTCGATGTCCTGGCCAACAATCACCCAAATAAAATCGGTCGCTCACACCAATGGCTGTTTGTGGGACATTGCTGAGCTGCCACATTTCACCCACAAAGTACAGTCACTCCATTTAACAGTATGTTCTGGGAAGCGCTTTGAGAGGTCTCGGCAACGTGATAAGGCGCTGTATCAAATGCAAAGATTATTATTATTATTATTACAGAACACAGTAAGTCTCAAGCAAAACAGCATGGGAGGAGGAGGGAGGAGGAGGGGGGCGCGCGGGGCGATTTTAAGACCCAGAAACAAGCCAAGAGTGTGACTGTGACTATGAAAGAGACACACACATTTCGAGGAGGCAGGGAGAGGTTGTGGGGGACAGAAAGAGGGGGTGTGGGGGGTGAAGAGAGAGGGTGAATGGGTGGGGGGGGGAAATGGGAGGAAGGGAATGGGGGGGTGAATGGGTGAGGGGGGAGGGACATGGGTGAGAGGGGGGAGGAGATGGTGAGGGGGGGCAGAAGACGGGTGGGTGAGGGGGGGGGAAGATGGGTGAGGGGGGAGGAGATGGGTGAGGGGGGAGGAGAAGATGGGTGAGGGGGAGGAGAAGATGGGGGGGGAGAAGATGGGTGAGGGGGGGAGGAGATGGGTGAGGGGGGGAGGAGAAGATGGGTGAGGGGAGGAGAAGATGGGGGCGGGGGGAGAAGATGGGTGAGGGGGGGGAGAAGATGGGTGGGGGGGGAGGAGATGGGTGAGGGGGGGGGGAGAGAAGTTGGGTGAGGGGGGGGAGGAGATGGGTGAGGGGTGGAGAAGATGGGTGAGGGGGGAGAGGAGATGGGTGAGGGGGGGGGAAATTAATAGGTGGGGGGGGTAATGGAGGGAGGGGGTAATAGAGGGGGGGGGGGGTAATGGAGGGGGAGGGTAATGGAGGGAGGGGGTAATGGAGGGGGGTAATGGAGGGGGGGGTAATGGAGGGGGGGGGTAATGGAGGGGGAGGGTAATGGAGGGGGGGGAGGGGGGGGGGTAATGGAGGGGGGTAATGGAGGGAGGGGGAGGGGGGTGGACCCACCTTGGTGGTTGAAGAGTCTCCAGAGTTTGGTGAAGAGGATTCCCATCCTCCAGGCAGGCAGTTTGCTGGTTGGGGTGAAGTGAAGTGACTGACCGCCTGGCGTCTTTGCCCCCCTTTTCTTGACCCCCTCCCCCTCAACCTCACCACCGCCGCCGCCGCCACGCACTCCCCACCCCCCGCGCGCCGAAGGCCCCCCCTCCGCCGCCGCCTCGAAATAAAGTCCCAAAGGAGCGACGGGCCCTGCGAGATTGAGTGGAGCCGCGGCCTTTCCTGGGGGTGGTGGGGGGGAGGGACTCGGGTCGAGGGGTCCGGGGGGGGGTCGGGAGCCTCCTACGAGGAGGAGGAGGAGCTGAGGCGGGGGAGCGACGCGCGACGCACGGTCAGGGCCATCACAAGCCGCGGGCTCGAGCTCGAGCGGCTCGTCACCGGCCACGGGCAACGTCAGCAACGTCGGCGTCGGCGGCGTCAGCAGCGTCGGCGGCGTCAGCAGCGTCGGCGTCGGTGGCGTCGGCAGCGACGTCGTCGACGTCAGCCTCGTCGTCGTCGTCACCACCACCACCATCACCACGGCTGCGCCTGCGCACAACTGAACCCCGCCCCCCCCTCTCCCACTCACCGAAGGGCGTCCCGCCCGAAAACCCGCCCCTAAAAGTAGCCCAATGATGACGCGTGGCCTTGCCTTCCCTGGAGCGGTGGTCCGCCCGCGCACTCCCGGCCGTCGGGCTCCGCGCCTGCGCGCGCTCGGGCGGTTCCGCCGACGTGGTAGCCCAAAGCCCGCCGCAAGACCAGCCCAAAAGTAGCCCAATTATAACAAGGCACACACACACACCCCCACACCTCCCCCCCACACACACCCCCCCACACACACACCTCCCCCCCACACACACCCCCACACACACACACCTCCCCCCCCACACACACCCCCACACACACACACCCCCCCCCCACACACACCCCCCAAACGCCCCCCCACCAAAACAATATATATATACATATAATGATGACAATTCGGTCACTATAACCCGCGGCTGTTTGCGGGGACGTTGTCGCCGCCGCCGGCGGTGCAATCGGCTGCCGCAAAAAAATGGAAGTCGACTACGCTTTGTGGCGCTGATTCGGACGCAAGGCCGATGGTCACCCCCCCCAAACCCCCCCCACCCCCCCGCCATCCGGAAACATTAAATATAATCGGGGGTTGGGAGCAACAACCACCAAATTACATTGGCGCAGCAACGACAACGACAACCGAGCGCTTGTCGCTGCGGTTCGCTTTTCTTTTGCGTCGCTTCGTGAACTTCCTTCAATAATCATCATAATAATAATAGTCCTCGCATTTGATATAGCGCTTTTCACGTCTTCTCGACGTCTCAAAGCGCTTCACGGAATAGACTGTGAAGGGAATTGACTGTATGTTTGTGGGCGAACGCGGCAGCCAATTGCGCACAGCAATGTCCCACAAACAGTCGTGGATTGAAAATGACCAATTTATTATTGTTTTTGGTTTTGGAGGGATTATTATTAGGCTCTGTGTGGAGTAAGGAAACTTGCCCAAGGTTTCGCCCTCTGCCTGGAATTGAACCCAGGTCTCTCGCTTGCAAAGCGAGTGCTCTAACCACTGAGCTCCAGGACTCCTCAAGCCTCGGGGGCGATTGAAATAACATGAAAAAACAGGAGTCTAATCAGTAAATAATCCCACGATCATCGAGTGATATTCCGTAAAGTTTGCCTAAAGTTCCGTGACAGCTGCCTCAACGCTGACCGCTGGGTGACGGACGCCGATCATCCACCGTTAACTTTTTATTATTACGATGGTTTTTTTTTCGTTGTATTACGACGGAAGGACAATTTAGTGCTGGGGGACTTTCCGAGAGACCGGGGATTTTCTGAAGGTTTCCAAAAACAAAATACTAAAGAAAATCGAGTGACGATGGGTCAGCGATTCAGGCCTCCGTACAAGTACATGAATAAATGCGGTTGGGATATTAATAATAATAATAATCCTTGCATTTGATATAGCACTTTTCACGTCGGGAGGACGTCCCAAAGCGCTTCACAGAACACACTGTAAAGTGAATTGACTGTATATTTGTGGGCGAACGCGGCAGCCAATTGCGCACAGCAATGTCCCACAAACAGTCGTAGATTGAAAATGACCAATTTATTATTGTGTTTGGTTTTGGAGGGATTATTATTAGGCTCTGTGTGGAGTAAGTTGACAGCCTTCGAGGACTTGAGGAGCGCTTGTGACATGTTAAACCAGGATCGATAAGAAAGTGAGGAAGAGAGTACGTGGGACGACCAACGTACACAGAGACTGTTCTACGGAAATTAACGGTACAAAAAGTGCGAGCGAGTCGATTTGTCCAGAGATTCGAACACAAAACCCAAAACCACAGACATTTTTTTTGGAAGAAACTTTTTTTTTTTAATTTGTTTTTTTTTCCAACCTTTTAGAAAAAAAAATCTAATCTCTAAATTGAAAATGCAGCTGACTTTAAAACATCTACTTTTCCAGAGACCGGGTCTTCGGAAATAGTTATAATTCCATGCGTGTAACTTGCACTTCGTCTGCCAGTTCTCTGTACACACACACAAAAAAAATAGCGAAGCAATTCAATGTCTTCTGAAATCCCCCCCAACCACCCCCCCACCCCCCACCCCCACCACCCCCAAAAAACGCCACTGAAAAGCCGAGGGGATAAGTCAGCATAACATGCAACACAGTGCACATTTGCATAGGTAATGGAAGTAACTCAACATGCTGTTCAGAATACCGAAAATACTATATATAAACGGTGTGCTGCAAGAAACAATGCTATAGTATAGACCTTACACAGAAGGATACCTTTCGTAGAACCCCACCGAGGGCAATTCATTTTGTACAGCATGTTCGACGTATTTCTTATCAATATTTTCATACCAATTAAAGCAGCAACTATTTATTTACAAGCTTTTCCATTTTTTTTTTGTAAACGTGTAGTATTAGAAATGTGCAAAAAGGTCCTATAGTTTGAACATTTGAACATGCTATTAAGTCCTCTGGGCACTCAGTACAGTAACGCCCTCACCCTTAGATAATATGATGGTGAAGGAAGGAATGTTGCTTAAACTTCTCATCGTAGATCAAAGTTCTCTGGGATTCCTTCTCGTCATTTTTTGGCGGTGCCCGAAGCAGCCTTATATGTGTTGACACATTAGAAAACTCAATAGGTAAGGCATTTGACCAATTTGTTGTAACACTAATACATTATAAATGCACGTAGCCCATCTTCCAATCCAAGTCTTTGCAAATTTTGCTTTTTTTTTTTGCATGTTTCTGAAAACATTACTCGAAACAAAAAAAAGAGACATTTTTTTTAAAATGAAAGTTAATACAAGTAAAATCGTCTTGATTTCCGTGCCAGTCTTTTCTTTAATATAAGAACGACTTTGATCGTTGTCACATTGAGGTATTCTAAATATAGTACAGCATTTAGATCTTCTTGTTTAAAAAAAATTACTCAACGAAAATCAATAAAGATCATTAAAGTGCTACCGTATAATTAAACTGTAAATAATCATTTCTAAGACAAAAAAATATGTATTTTATAGCAACTTTTTTTTTAAGACGATAATCCCAATTTCTAAAAGGCAAGCTTTTCAATTCAAACAATGATTTTGCAACTTTTCTCTTGCAGGCTTTAATTATTCCAAACTTTGAATGCATTTTTATATAAGGCAATTGCAACGTGGGGGATGGGTTTACTATTGTAACTGGAACAATATTTTTCATCTCAAAAGCCAGAAATGGAAGATGAGCTACTGACAACTTTTTAGTCTTGTTACAAACTTTTTTTCGTGTGTGGATCAAAATAGTTGTGAAATAACTAATCGGAGGATTTATTGGAGAAGCAACTAAAAAGCATTGACAAAGAGATTTGCGCTTGTCACCACAACATGAGAGCCAGTATACCCTTTACACTGATCTACTCCTTAATATCAATTCAACCTCAAAGAGTTCAGTCAGCAAACCAGGGCCTGCGTGCTGTTCAGCAGTGCGCTGCCAATAAAAAAATCGATCATTGCAATAAAGGTCTTAGCAGAAAATATAAGTGCGTTTGTTTGTGTGTGTACGTGTGTGTGGTGAGAGAGAGGGGGTGTGGGGAGTGTAGGAAGCAGTTGTAGCAATGCAAAAATCGATGGGATCTTTTGTTCGTGAATTTATTTGGCATAAGTGTCAGTGGGTGGCCTCAATACCTAATCATATTAAATTACTAATATTAATTAATAATATTAATGATACTCAATTGAAATTATTCAAGTGTTGCAGGGAAAAGAAATGGAAAATGTTGCTCACCGCACACCACCCATCTATTGTATCAAGAAAAGTCTATGCCTGCATATAGATTAAGGTTATAAATAAGGCCCAGTTTAAAGAAGTTTGTTTTAGTACTAATGGAGCAGTAGATGTGCATCATTGGTATCAGTTTAGGCACACTGCTGTATCATGCACAAAGTGGGACATGTTACAGACAAGGAGGTGCGCAGCAATTCATTTTGCAGATTTACATGTACATTTAATCTATAAACCTTTTTCCAGTTTTCAGCTATTTTCAATACAATAGTTCTTTCCAGTTTTCATCTTCCAGGTCTTTGAAAGTAATTATGAAAATGGACTTTTTCCTTTCGGACCATTACAGACTAACCCAGTCTATGATTTTGGTCTTTACTAGTGTAATGACGAGGATGGTTCTATTCACTGTACGCGTGTGCAATCCACAGCCCCAGTGTTTCACGCTCGCCGTTCCCTCCCATTTCACAAACTACGTGCCATTGCAATATAGAATTCCCTTAACCGGTTGAAAATCCAGGATTTCTGTCTGCCGAAATCAGATGTGAAAATCCGGGATTAACAGGGTAAGGGTTAATGATCACAAACCTTAGCAGCACTTCTCGCGTGTATGCAACTCGCAGCAACTTTAATCAGTGCTGGTTGACAATGTGCCAACTCGTCCTAGCCCATGGAATGCACCTAAAGACTAAGTATTCTGAATGTGTGCGCGGTAATTAGAATCGCCTTACTTTAATTGATAAACATGTACAGAAGTGTGACATGCAATCTCAGCTAATGATTATTACCACTGGCTTCAAGTTTTCAATGTTAAAAAAAATACTGAAAGGCTAAAACCTGTTGCCGTAACCCTCCTAATGCAAGAGATCCAGCTGGGCATTCAATAGTACTGTTTGTTCAGCAAAATTGACAGCTGCTTCAACAGTGAGCAATATCACAACCATCACCGGTAATCTGGTGATAAATTTTGTGTCAGTAGTATTTGACATACCAAAGGCATGCAGCAATTTATGACAGCAGTGTAGCACATATGACACATAACAAGCTATTATCGAAACAATCACTTGTGAACAACGAACGGAACAAGTCAATTGTGTTGCCAACAAAAATAAGAGATTGCATTAAGGTGCAAAAATATACTTCCACGGGCCAATGAACTCCAATCAGTTGGCATGACGAATGGAAGACTTATGATTATCAAGGCTTCGAAACTGGCATCTCCAAACTCGTATAAAATCCCAATGTCCCCCGCACATCGTATCAATATTTATCACATAGTCCACTGATAGGTCACGCAATCAAACTCATTCGTATTAAATCTTTACCTTTTTTAAACTCGTGTTCAATGATGACTTTTTTGTTGTTTGAAAGTTGGACTGAAATTAAACTTATCCAACATTTCCACATGATGGGCTATGCCAATAAACGTTGTTTGGCAAGTACTAATATATTGGACGTACAGTATTAGGTTCACCCTCAGCACAGAGCCTTTCACAGCAATTCTGACATTGAAAAAAGAGCTTTGTTTTTCCCCCCCATCGCCCTGGCCAACAATCTTCCAGGTGAAATGTTTATTCATCTGGAGTAAGGAAACTTGCCTAACATTTCACCCTGCCCGGGAATCGAACTCAGGGCCTCTTGCTTGTGAGGTGACTGCTCTAACATGCAACAGGATTCCACAATTGACACACTCAGAATTCACCTCTGAAATGCACCGCATTTGTATAAATTGGGTTTGAGGTGCGTGATCATACAGTGATTCAAGCTGGAGCCGAGCTGACGAAATTATCTTGAGGACGTGTCTTTGCCAGGGTAGAATTGCAAGTCTGCATTAATCGATTTACTCTTTGCTCACAAATAGTCCCTTAGAAATTCTTGGGACAGACCAATAGCTCACGCAAAAACATTTACTGTTCTGCGTTTACTGTTATCAAAGAGGCATAGAGTAACATAGAGTGTTACTTGATGCTTACACCAGGAAGAAAGTAAAGAGAGGGGTGGAAGGAGGGGTGGAAGCTGACGTGGAGTCTAATCACCGGCATGGACTAGTTGGACTGTCTTGTTAATGTGCTGTAATATTCTATTGGAATTCTATATAATACAGCACGGAAAGAGGTCATTCATTCCAACCAGTCCATGCCGGTGATTATACTCCACACAAGCCCCCCAGCCTTCCCATTCCCCTCACTTGCACCTCTCTATTCCCTTCTCCCTTACGGAGGCATCAAGTTTCCGCTTAAGTACACAGATGCTATTTGCTTCAACCAAACCAGGGGCTCTTTTAACGTTAGGAAATAATTTTGTTTGCCGCTGGATTTTGGAGTTCTGCTGATTTGCTCCTTTGTATTCCCAGCTCCCAATCCCCATGGGAAGTACAAAATGACTTCCTTCTTCAAATCCCTTTAAAGATTGTTTTCCTGTGCTATGAATTGAGCATAACTCTATTGCATCTGGGAAAACGATTAAGGTGGGAGAGATGACCTAAAGTTTTCCCAAACAATAAAGGTTATTAATAAGATAGAAAGAAAAAAAACATGCATTTTAATAGCATCTTAACACGCTGAAACATCTCAAAGCATTTTGCTAAATAATTGCTGTCAAGTTTCGTGACTGTTTTTGTAGGCAAACGTGGCAACCATTTGCACCAGCAAAGTCTCACAAGTGGTCACAGGCTCAATGATCACTTATATCTGGAGGATTACTGACAAGGACAACAAGGAGAAACTTCCTCCTCTTTCGAATAGCTTCATGGGACATTGGCAATCATTCTATCAAGGGATTTTTAATAATAATAATAATAATCCTTTCACTTGTTACAGCACCTTATCATGCCTTCGAGACATTTCAAATCGCTTCACCGAATATGCGGTAAAGTGAATTCACTGTATATTTTGTGGGCGAAAACACCCACAAAATAATGTCTAACTGAACACGTAGACAGGATATCAGTTTCAGTCTCATCCTAAAGACAGCATCTCCAACAATGTAGGACTCCTTCACTATGGCTCTGGAGTGTCAGCCGAGATGGATATGACATTATTGACTTATATTATTTGGTATTAGGATAGAACAAGGGGACATGATTCTAAGCTAAGAAATGGATAAGCTAATGATCCACTTGCGCTGTGAATCAATGTCAAAATGTGCTGTATAAATGGGAAAAATAAATGGTAGTCACATGCTACAATAATGAAGATTAATTGTTTATAGCAATTAATTCTGTATGGATTAATCTACCATCACAGTGGAAAGCTTTGGGAACCTTAGATCCAAACTTGTCTAATTCTTCCAAGCCATACAACACTTGTCATGTCTCAAACTACTCATATACTGTATCCCAAAATATTATTTTCTAAAATAAGTCTAATTGCCATTAGAGTTAATTGACACTATGTGCTTGCGCTATCTCCCTACACTTCTATTCACATCCAGCAGAATCAAGTAGCATTAATGCAATGAAGTCTAACCTCTCCAGACTTAAAGACTTGTTTGGCAACATATCCCGGGAGCACAGGAACAACATAACTAGCGTAGGTGACTGAGAAGACGATTTTTAGCCTGCAATAATTACTCGTTATCTCTTCCACTTACAACTACTCTCTTTAAGGCTAGGTAGTTTGACCGGTTTGGTTAATATAAAAAAGTAACTGAATAGTGAAGGGAAATCAAGCCCTCAATCATCCACCCTCCTCAAAAGCAATTTAAAGAAACAATACTCGGAAAGGTTAATAGAACTACGCAATGACAATTTTTGAGCCCTATGATACTGTAGCCCAAGATATTAATAAGAATGTATTAAAGATCCCAGGATACCATTCGAAAAGAGAAGGGCATTTCTCCCAGTGTCTTCGCTGTCGTAAAGTGCCTGCTACAAAAACAGTCACTACACTGGGACATTAGTTGCTTGTGAAGCACTTTGAGAAGTTTCAATCTGATAAGGCACTATTAAAGATGCAACTTTTTTTCTTTTTTAATCCTTTCTATTTTGACCAGTAGCTGTCAGATATGAAATTAAGTCATCAATCTAAGACTGCGATCTCATCAGAAACACAGGGGAAATGGATATTTACTGTACAAGACTGTCTTGGAAGTAGACCATAAATCTACTGGCATTCGCTGCATTAAATTTTTTTGCTAACTAATAACATTGACCTCCCTAAAACATGGAAAATATAGGAATCGAATATCAGCGGGATAATGTGCAGCCTGGTTTCATCGGTTATAAACAATACCTTTAAGGAAAAAAAACATACGCACAAGTCGCAAACGCATAGAAGCTTAATTCATCGCTCTAAGTTTAAATAATATCTTGCTTGTAAATATGTGATTTAGTTACTGCCTTTCTCATGCAAGTAAGAGAGCTGTACATGTGGTGGAGAGAGAGAGAGAGAGAGAGAGCTGCTTGGAATTTGGAAATATGTGCAGAAGTAAAATCCATTGGAACAATGGTAATGCAGGGTTGAATTGCAATACCATTTATTGCTAGTAGGAAATTAGGTGTTACTGTCTATAAAATGAACATCATCACTGCATCAGGACCCAACTACTGACTACCCTCCTTGGGGAGGGGTGGGAGGGGTGGTGGGGGGGGGGATGGAGGGGGGGGGGATGGGGGGAGGTAAGAGGAGTCTCCTTGGAGCTGAGATGGCTCCAAGGTGACGTGCTTGGCAACGGAATGTCGGAGTGTTGAGTCACCTCTCTGCGGCAGTCCAGGTAGTCCGGTTCCTGAGCCAGGCAGTGTCCGCAGTACTCCAGCCCAGCCTGGCTCATCGCCCGGGTTTGGAGGGGGTCTCTGGGGTTGGGGGAGTCATCCCACTCGGCTCCTATTAACCCCGCAACGGGGTAGGAAGGTCCTAGCTGGACGAGCGGCGGGAAGGTTGGCAGACAGTGCGTCAGGAAGTTTTCAGGGCAGCTACGTCCTGTAGCACTGGCAGCATTGAAAAAAGCCCCCCACCCACACCCCCCAACCCCTACGAGGGTTACATTGGAGCTGCAGGAGATACCAAGCCTTCTGCAAGCATCAAGTCTTTCCACTGTGTTTTCTTCATATAAAAAATATGCGCAGCGAGGCAATGCAGCGAATCGTTGCGTCCCCGGCTCACGTCTTTATCAAGTCACCTTGTTCACGGGTTTGGCAAAGTGCTTCTGGAAGATACTTTGCCAGACACTTTAGGTTAGAGATAAAAGCAAGCTGGTGGGTGGGGTGGGTGGGGGGGGGGGGGGGGACGACTGAAATAATCAAGACTTTTTGATAACTAAATTCATCAGTAAAAATACTATGATGTTTCCCTGTTCGTGTAAGAGGTTTCGAGGCTTGCTTGATTGCTTGCTTTCTTCCCCACCACCACCCCCTCCCATCGCTTTGCATCCCTTCCTCCCTCCCTTCCTCCCTCCCCTGGACCCTCCTTGGTTTTGTTGTTGGTGAATAGCAAACGGGGTGTGTGTTTTTTTTTCATAGGCGGTGCTGAGAATCGTAACTGTGGCCCCCGGGTGACCCGTGACTCCTTCGCTGTTTGTACGTGTCCTGATAGGGGTCGGAGTACTCTTCCTCCACCAGTGGGTATTGAGCCCTGCTGTGCTGTGAACCCGAAGACAAACGGTTACGACTCTTTTTCGCCCTTTCGCTGTGACCATTTTCGTCCGAGTGCATCAGGCGTGTTCGTTCGACGGGCAAGTTTTCACCAGAGTGATTGCTGTTGTTCATTCGCTGACCCTAGTGCGACATGAAAGAGCAGGTTAGCGGACTTCCCTTAAGTGTAAGGTTACGAATAACGATGATGGACAGTCGACACCCGAGCGATTTATTTTCTCTGAACTGTTTTTGGTGACGAATCTGTCTTTGTTAGGTTCCAACGTGGAAGCTTGGGGCAAAAGGCATCCATTTCACTGATGAGGAAGTCAGTGCAAAGCTGTTCGCTTACCCAATATTGATGGCAATTTAATCGATCTGTCTCCTGACTAATAGGAAGTCTTATTTTTCAGTTTCATTGGTAATCGAAGAATGTACAGGACTCGGCCCAACCAGTCCGTGCCAGTGCTTATGCTTCACACGAGTCCTCACTCATTCCTTTACTCTCTCCCATATCCTATTCCCCTGTCCCTCATGTGAAGGTCTAGCTTCGTTTTGAATGCATCTACCCTATCGGATTCAACCTCTGAAAGAGTCCCCTGATTACGGACTCCACAACTCGTGGGAACAACCCATTTATATTAACCTTATCGGACCCTTTTAGAATTTAAGTGGGAGGGAGAGAGGATCACAGCCAAGTCCCACCCAACACTCACAAGCATACGCACACCCACACGAACACAAATGTATGTGCACACATACGACATGCTCCAGTGAACACACACACTTTTCTATCAAGGCTCACTGGCTTGTGATTGGGAGCCCTGATTTTTCCCACTCCCAAGTCTAGGACAGATTCAGTGACACGAACTGCTCCCTTGGCCTAAAATGCGGCGACTCAGCACAGACCGCGGAGCAAACTCCCCAATAGGAAATCTGTGGACTGTGTATTTTTGGGGAAAAACACGGCTATCAATTTGTGCATAGCAATGTCCACAAAGGGCCATGGAGTAAGTGACCAATTTTATTTGTGGGATTTTCGGCCAGGACACCGGTTTAATATCCCATCCAGAGGAAGACACCTCCGACAATGCAACACACACCCCAGCACTGCATTGGAGTGTCATCTTAGACTGCTGTGGTCCCACCAGAGCTAACCCACTTACCGATGCCAGCTAAGCAGGGCTATTGGTAGATATTGAGGCATAATTCAATGCCCCAAAGATACGAGACTTAACAAGGACTTCTGGTGATAAATAGATGGCACAGATCAATAGATTTCCTTTCGAAAGAAACGTTTCAATTCCCAACGAAAACCCCAGTTATGTACACTTTACACCCGCAATAATAACTCTTATTCTCGCTCGGCTCCAAGTTGTGCCGTTGACCCTCCAATAACACGAATGGAAAGATCAATAGAACAAAAGGGGCTCAGTCAGTCAGTCAGTCAGTCAGCAGAAGCAGCTGTAAGAGCCATAGTGCTCTATTAGGTTTCCTTCGCTCCTTTCTGGACTAGAATAGTGTCTACTTGTTTATCTGAAACACTCCAATCCAGTTACTGAGGCGTTATTATTTCTTGGAGTCCCTGCAAAGACAAAGAGCTCAGAAAGGATTCAGCTGGATGCAGGCAAGAGAAGACGAGAGAGAACCAGCAAGGATTTTGGCTGCATGTGAGTGAGTAAGAGGCACAAAGAAAACCGTGAGGGACAAGTGAGCAGAAACCAAGAGACCGGGTAGAATACAGCTCATAAAAGGGGGACTGAGTGAATGGCTATGGATCCAGGCAGTTGAGAGCAGGCAGAGAGGGAGAGCGAGCAAGTGAGCGTGAGGAATTATTGATCGGCAATCGAGCGTGAGCGTGAGGAATTATTGACCGGCAATCGGGGAAAAAAAAATAGGAAAACCCAGACAGTTGATCAGAAGGGGTTATTTACTGCTCTGTTCCCTGAGTGTAGCAAACGTTTCAAATTGATTCAAGTGGGCTAATCGCTGACTGAATTTAGGAATTTTGTCACTGTGCATTTTTAAATAATAATAATAATAATCGTTGCATTTGATATAGCTCCTTATCCCATCTTTGAGACGTCTCGAAGAGCTTCACAGAATATACGCTAAAGTGAATTGACTGTATATTTTGTGGGCGAAAACGCAGCAGCCAATTGGGCGCAGCAGCGTCGCGCCATCGATCGCGACCAAATTATTATTATTTTTACATTTTCTTTTTTTTCAAGCGCTTATTACGCGAGGAAAAGTGATCCGCCAAGCAACTTAACAACCAGGTTTCTTACGTACCGTTAGGTAAACATGTATGTGGAGTCAGGAGAGTTGCCTGAGATTTCGCCCTGCCCGGGAATCGAACCCAGTTCCTCTCGTTTGCGAGGCGAGTGCTCTAACCACTGATCAACAGGATTCTTCTATGAAAGTCACTTGAGAAATGCAAAAAGTGCGAGCTGCAATGTAAAACCACGAACCCGTTTATTTAGGAGTGAACGGGTACAAATCTCGTCACAAAGAGCACAACTCAGCTCTCATCTACGATTCTGCTACATTGAGCCAAACGAGAGTAATCCCCAGAGAGACTAAAAATAACTGCAGACATCACTAAAAACAAAGAACCTGGAGACAGGATCCAACGTAATTTGGGTAAAGGGAGGCAGACTGTGAAGCAATAGGCTGGGTAAATAGAAGCAGAGAGACCTGACTGCCTTCACTTCATGTGCAAGTGACGGGAAACAGATTCCATAACTTTACAATCTTAATCGTCACAGACAATTTGGTTTATCGTCATCATCGCCCAGTGTTTGCTTTAACTATCTATGCTCCATTAGAATAATTAACTTGTAAATGTTACAATCAGCCAGTAAAGACCGCCGAAGCCTCTCTCGCTTTTCATTACTTGGCTATAATGGGTTTACACCCAGAAATGGCATGTGGTGAACCCCACTGCTTTGTCCGCTGGTAAAATCAGAAGATAATGATTTTGCATTGAGGTGAACGCTCAGTACAGGTTTAATACGTTCACTGTTAGCTTGACCCTCAACCTGACTCACTCTCAGCAGAGCTTTGCATGAACAAATAATAAAACTAAAGCACCAAAGGTAGACCTGAGTCAGAAGAAAGGGAATGGGCCTCGGTTGGAAAAAGCTGTTCATTGCCATGAGGTTTTAGCAAGCTCCAGCACATTGTGTTTTTAATGAAGGCTACCTGCAGTGAGTCAAGGGAAGATTTTGATGTGCGTTCTGATGCAGAATCCTGTCATCTCTATTACTCGTTCATAGGGATGTAATTTGCAATGTTTGCAAAACCGGCAATGAGTCAACTGGCGAGTCCTCGTTAGCAAATATCAGACTCCGAAATTCTTAAATTCACATCCAGGGTAAATCTCGAACCCCAAGTTGGCAAAGTCCGAGAAAAAGGACACACCATTGATTTTGCAGGCTTGGGGGCCTGGGGTTACCGATTCACCAGTGTTAAATTTCACAGAGATTTCACAATCCCAATATCCGCAAACTGAAACTCCCAATGAATCAATCCGCCTTTGTGAATATTGCAAGTTAATTAACTAACTAACTAATTCATTCATACATTCATTCATTCATTCATTCAACTCACCAGGAACACAGTCCCATTAAAAACATCAAACTCTGCTTGCATCAGGTACTCATCCCAATAACAATGTTTCAAGAATCTGCGCAGTGGACAGACAGAATAATAATAATAATAATAATCCTTGCATTTGATATAGCGCTTTTCACGTCGGGAGACGTCCCAAAGCGCTTCACAGAATGTACTCTCCCTCCCTTCCCTCCCCTCACCCTGACCATTTCCCCCCTGCTCGGGTCATGACCCAACTGTGTAGCGCCTTGGGACGTCCTCCTGACGTGAAAGGCGCTCTATAAATGGAATCTTGTTGTTGTTGTTGTTGTTGTACTGTAAAGTGAATTGACTGTATATTTGTGGGCGAACGCGGCAGCCAATTGCGCACAGCAATGTCCCACAAACAGTCGTAGATTGAAAATGACCAATTTATTATTGTTTTGTTTTGGAGGGATTATTATTAGGCTCTGTGTGGAGTAAGGAAACTTGCCCAAGGTTTCGCCCTCTGCCTGGAATTGAACTCAGGTCTCTCACTTGCAAAGCGAGTGCTCTAACCACTGAGCTACAGGACTCCACAGAGAATGTCAGAGAGGTCTGTTGAGAGACACATTGCCTGGACATAGTTCATCAAGAAATTATATTTGTATTAAATGAATTCTTCACGTCAGGGAGGACTGTAGTCAGATTTCAGATCCAATTATTTTAGCTCAGGAATCTGTGTCAGTGGAAAACCTGAGGAAATAAATGCATGCAGGAAGCTGGCTCCTGCCTCCTGCTTGTCCATCGTGCCCCGCATTCCACCATCGGTGGTTGCGCTTTCAGCCCCGAAACTCTGGAACGTCATTCCTCTATCCCTCCGCTTTGCTCGCGCCCCCACCACCCCCACTTCCCCATCTTCATGTCACGCTTGAAGACCTTCCTCTTCGACCGTTCCTAAGGTCATCCCCCTTAGGGTCATGCTCCGCCACTGCTAAGCGCTCTGGGAAGCTACGTTTCGTAAGGAACCCTATATAAATGCAATGTATTGTTGTTGTGGAAGTGTTGATTAAATTTAAGATGCAATGAGAACCTGCAAAACTTTTCCTGCCAAGGGTCAATCGGTTGGGTACAATCTCGGATAAAACACCAGAATGGCTTGACCAGAGCCCTAAAGCACTGCATATCGTTCTGGCCACTGCAACGTAAGGAGCTGCTCAGATCTCGAGCCAGTGCAGAGGAGATCAGTGAGGTGTGAAGAGAAATGAGCAGCGATTAGGCAAGCTAGGGCTTGTCATTCTTGAAAGGAAACATCTCATCTCAGACTGAACCTTATAGATTTGCGTAAGTTTTGAAATGGTATTGAAAAAGTAAATGTAAATGTCATAGAACTATACTTAGGATGCACCCAGATAGCAGAATGTTAATGATTCTAAAGGGTATTTTCAGGATAGACGCCAGGAAAAGTATTTCTTTACCCAGACTACAATTAAAAATTGGAACACGGTAATAATAAATGATAATAATCCTTGCATTTGATATAGTGCCTTATCACATCTTCGAAATGTCTCAAAGCGTTTCACAGAATATACTGTAAAGTGTAGCGACTGTATATTTTGCATATTTTCCGTTACCAGGAAGAGTGGTTGAAGCCAGTACTGGAGTCATTTATAAAAACAAAAAACAAGTTTGACACTGTGATGGGAAAATGGTAGGGTGGGTGTTCTGGAAGAATGAGGTCAAATGGGTTGAAGGGCCTGTAGTTTAGAATTTCAACCTTAGCAGTTCTTCACAGTTCTCTCATCACCCGGTTCTGCACATGTTCAGATCCACATTAGGAATGGAATCAGGTTTAGGTAAGGATGTTCTGGGAAACAATGTAACCTACGTTGCAATGATATCTCACAAGGCTGGCCAAAGGCATTGTATCTTACAGGATGCTTAACTTCCTCTAACTCATCTCACAAACCTCACAATTGGTCTAAGACTCTGCAGCTGGCCTTATGTTAACAGATGGTAGAAAGGTCAGTGTTCAACTGTCGGAGAGAGGTGACATGCATTCCAGATGCAGTGAAATTTCCACATGTAGGTGGTATAGATACTCTCATGCTTGTTTACACCTAGCTGGACAAGCAGTGGGGAAACTTGCCAGACAGTGGTCTCAATATCAAGCTCTGCAGTTTGAGTTTGGCCTTGCCTCTTGCCAACCTGTGCCTTATACGCCTCAGAATTAGGTAAGCAGTATGCGTCTCTCAAGGGAGAGAGTGCGCATTCCATTCCAAACAGAGGGAAATTGCCTTATGTGTGATGGAACGCATGTATATGGTTCTTAACGTGGATTGGATCCTCTTCAGCATGGTGATGGGTTTCCGTAGATGTCAAAAAACAATTCAAATGGTAGCTGGTAACACCACCAACGACCCAGACAATTCTGAGTGTCAATAGAATCACCAGCACTACATTTCAGGATAATAAACCTAATCACAACAAGGTATTTAGTTAATCTTTATGGCAAAGAGAAATGGGCACAGCGCAGGAATCCCACTCACAAATACTGATCTGCCAACGAAACCAAGGAAGACCTGTTTTATTTGGGCGAACAGTTTTCTGCCTTTTATATTTGGTTACCTCTGCTGCCTCGGCCAATCTAGGGCCAGAGATGTAGCTGCCATTGATGACTTGCCTACTGGGGATGAGGGAATAGTACCTGATGCAAACTCAATGCAAAGTTCTTAAAGGGTCAGTGCCATTGGTGTCTTAATAATAATAATAATCCTTACATTGCATACAGCGCTTTATCACGTCTTCAAGACGTCTCAAAGCGCTTCACAAAATATACTGTGAAGTGTAGTGACTGTGTGTTTTGTGGACAGCAGTGTCCAATTGCCACCAGGTCTTGCCATCTGCTCTACCTCCATTGAAAGCCAGCGATATTGTTTCGGTACGGGATATGAACCTCATTCACAGGAGGAGCATAAACTGTGCCATCGGTAAGTAACCCAACATGGCACGAGCAGTCTGAGGTGTCCAAACATTTGTGTAGGAGAAATATGGTCATGGTTTACTTTGTCCTCTTACTTCCACAGGTCTGTTTGTTTTCCTACCTGCAAACCAGAGATAGCTGAGGGATATGTTGACAGTGCAGTACTACCTAAGTTTCGACCCAGCAGTGGATTCAGTGGTGTGCTGCTAGGGCTGTGTGTCGCACGCCAATACGTTTCAAGGTACTCTGCCAAATGCTCACACGCATCCTCCAACTGGTTTTCGTCCAATATGACGTCGAACATTTCCTGCCAAGAAAAGAGAGAGTTGGGGATCATGTTTGGGTATCGCGGAGGACAACCGAGATTTCTAACCAAATAAGGTCACAATTCCCCCCAAAAAAAATCACGTCACAAATAACAGGTGCAAATGTTTCCACCAAAACTCTGCCATATTATGCCATTTGGTGGAAGCTCGTGGGAATGCATCCAATAGAAAGGTCTTGGTCAATGGAGGTACCAAGTGGAGGCTAGGAAACAATAATAATACAGCGCCGTATCATGTTGTTGATACATCTCAAAGCGCCTCATATAAAATACTGTGATGGAAATTGACTGTATATATTATGGGCAAAACGCAGAAGCCAATTGCGCACAGCAGTGTCCCACAAACCATCGTGAATTGAGTGAGCAAATTATTATTTTTTTAATGAAGGGATTATTACCCTCGGAAATCGATACACCAAGCGACTAACAACCGGGTTCCTACTTAATGCTGGGTAAACAGAGCTGTGTGAAGCAAGGAAACTTACAGAACCTTCCGCAATTCCGCGCAATCTTACGTTTTAAGACCAAACGATCTAACAAGATAAGACTGGGTGGAATTTCGAACCTGTGCGGTCTCTCCACACTGTTTTAAGTGAAGCAAATTATTCTTTTAAGGATGCATTGTCAAGGTGTTTTAATCAGTGTCTGGTGTCTGTGGTCAATTGTGGACAGTAAGAAAATCCTACAAAAACAAAATCTTGCTGAAGTTATCTGGTGGCGGGGGGGGAGTGGGGGGGAAGGGAAAGGAAATGTGTCCCAAATTATATATTCCGGAGGGAAAAGCTTACCACTGGGGTCCCCAAGCCTTGACTCTTGCCAACCTGCGCCTCACACTTTCTGGAATTATGTAAACAGGATGCGTAGGTGGGATGCAGGGAATTCTCAGCTTGGTTTGGACACTCTTAAGCAACGGTGATGGGTTCACGCAATGTGCCAGTCACTCGGCTGACACCCCAAAATAATATTTTTTTGTTACCTAAAGAGTGAAAACTGAGCAAAACTGCGTAAATCTGAATGGATGGATTTCACTCTGCTCATCCGAATGGAATGGCATGTTTCACGCAGACCTATATAATGGAAAATTAACCTGCTAAAGCTGAATTATCAAACCAGTATTTATATTTAATGTCTATGATTTACACTGAAAACCGCAGGCACGAGGTAGCAGGCTATTATTTTTTCTTGCAGAATACTTTATTGCAGGTTTTCTTGCCCCCCCTATTCCCAACCTAGATAATCATCAATAATCATAGCTGACATTAGACTTAACACGTACTGGAGGGCATTGTGCCAGTTTATCTGCTGCCACCAACTGGACGTTGAGATTTTTGCTTTGCGACTTTCCCCTGGACTTTATCAGCCGTTGCAGCACCTGGTGAAGACAAAGCAAATCTTCAATGGAAAAATAATAATAATAATCCTTGATTTGATATAGCGCCTTATTACGTCCTTGAGACTTCTCAAAGCACTTCACAGAATACACTGTAAAGTGAATTGACCGCATATTTTGTGGGCCAAATGCGGCAGCCAATTGCGCACGGCAGCGTCCCACAAACAGTCGTGAATTGAGTGACCAATTTATTATTATTATAATTATTCTTTTTTTTCGAAGGGATTGTTTGAAGACAAGACGAGATTCCCAGTGCTCTGAAGACACTAATAATAACAAGAACAACTTATACAGCGTCCCTCACATAGGGTAGAGTCCCAGAACGCTTAATTAAGAACGTAAGAATTGCCAGATGAACGCAGACCAAGGTCCATCTAGTTCGCCTTCCACCATCCTGGCAGTTGTTTGACATGTCATGTCCCAAACTATATACTATATCCACAAAAATATGCTGTTTCCTTAAAAAAAAATCTATTTAATTTGCTTTTGAAAGAATCGACAGTTTTTGCTTCCACCATCTCCCTCGGGAGCCTGTTCCACACATTTACTGTTTTCTCACCGAAATAGTGTTTCTGCAGATTTGATCTGATTTTTCTGTTTTCAAATATATATCCAATTCCCTCTTGAAAGTTGTTATTGAAACTGCTCCCACCATCCTTTAAGGCAGCCCATTCTAGATCGTAACAACCCAAAGGGTAAAAAAAAATTCTCTTCGTCGCCCCTCTGGTTCTTTTGGCATGTATCTTAAATCTGTGACCTCTGGTTACCAACACAGTGTCTCCTTATTCAGTCTATCAAAACCCTCTAAATCTCCCGTTAACCTTCTCTAAGGAGAACAATCCCATCTTCTGTAGTCTCTCCACATGACTGAAATCACTTATCCCTTGGTATCATTCTGGTAAATCTCCTTTGCATCCTCCCCAAGGCCCTGATATCCTTCTACAGCCAGACAGCTCAGCACATTCCCACATTCCCCCTGTTCGATAAACAGTACAAGAGCTCAAATTCTCCCACTTACAAGACCCCTGAATTGATCATCAGGGGAATTCAACAGATAATTGCCCAGGCGTCAACTCAAAGTCCTTTTGTCTCTCTCAGTGTACGGGATGAGGGTTTTTACCTTGGGAGAAGAGACTTTCACGTGAACGATGATTGGAGCTAGAGATGTCTTGATGAGCTGGGTGGGATGGTTAATGGTGTCTGCGTCTAAAACCACCAACTGCAAGGTTCTGGCCAACTCGAAGATCCTTTCGATCTCACTCTGCACTTCGGCTAGCACGAGGGGAAAAACGAAACAAAAAGTAAAACCAGTTACAATTTTTTGGAAGTCGTTTCAGGAATCGCGACCACTGCTTCTTCACTACTTGGTCTATTGATAACGATAAGATATAACGGCTCTGACATTGAAACATCTCAAAACAGTAGAGTCCTGTAGTGTAGTGGTTAGAGCTCTTGCCTCGCAAGCGAGAGGACCCGGGTTTGATTCCCGGGCAGTGCGAAACTTTAGGCAGCTTTCCTTACTGCGCATGGCTCTGTTTACCTTGCAGTAAGTAAGAGCCCGGTTGTTAGTCAATTGGCGGATCGCTTTCTGGGGGTAATAAGCCCTAAAAAACAGTCACTCAATTCCCGAATGTTTGTGGGATGCTGCTGTGCGTAATTGGCTGCTGCTTTTCACCCACAAAATACAGTCAATCCATTTTACAATATATTCTGTGAAGCACTTTTAGATGACTCAACGACGTGATAAGGTGCTATGTCAAATGCAAGGATAATTATTATTATAGCGGTGACTATTTGAAGATGAACACAGCAACTAATTTGCCCACAGCAGTGTCAGGCCATGAAGCCACGTTAAAACAGCAGTGCTCTATTGTACAGGCCATTTGTCCTGTAACCTCAGCATTGATCCTGATGCAAGTTTTGCATTGAATCGAGATTAAAGTGCCATATAAATCACATTTTAGAGAGATCGATGCAATTCAGAGCCCTGAGGGGAATTAATTAATCCATCAGTTGAAGTATAAATCTGGCTAATTCTCAGCAGCTTCTAAATGTTATAAAAGGTTAAAATCGCAAGCCTGTCCCACTTATGTTATTAAAGAGCAGCTCTGACTCCTGGTTTCTTCAAGGCTTCTTGGCTGACTGCTTTTCGTGCCAGTTGTTGGATTCCTATGCCGGAGCGGAAAATACGAATATTACTTCAGTGAGAGAATAGTAAACTTATGGAGCAGGCTCCCTCGTGGAAGCAGAAAATGTCATTTGTCTCAAGAACAAATTAGACAGATTCCTGCTAGAAAATAATATCTCGGGATACAGTATATGGTTTGGAACACGACATGTCAAGCGACTGCCAGGATGGGCAAACTAGATGGACCTTGGTCTTGTTTCGCGAGGCCAATTCTTACGTTCTTATGAAACAACTGTGTGAAAAAGGCACGAGCTGCATTAGGAAGGTTTTCACACAGCCATCTAGCAGGAGGAATGTCAGCTTGGCTCAGTTGCCAGCACCTCTTGTCTCGGAGTCAGACAAATGTCGGTTCAAGTCCCATGTCGGGGACTTTGCAATCGCAGTCAAGGCTGACACTCCGGTTCAGTGCTGAGGGGGGGGGGAACTGCATTGTCGGTGGTGCCTTTCTTCGGATGAGACGTGAAACCGAGGTCCCTTTTGTGCCCATTCAGGTGGACATCAAAGATTCCCATGGCACTACGTCATGGCTGTTTGTGGGACATTGCTGTTCGCAAATTGGCATTTGTCTATAAAAAACACAATAACGACACTGCGCAGTAAAATCCTATGAAGCGTTCGGAGACGATGACATGATAAAGCACTATATCAACAACAAATTGAATTTGTATAGCACCTTTCACGTCGGGTGGACTTCTTAAGACTCTGGACAGTCAAGGATTTGGACCCGAGCTGGGGGTTGGGATCAGGAGGGTGGAGGGCAGTGAGCATGATCGAAGGCACGATCGAAGAGGAGGGTCTTGAGATGGCCATTGTACATCAAATACAACGATTATCATCAGCTTCCTCACCTGAATAGTAATGTTCCAAATATTCCCCCCCACCCCCAGATTTTGTGCAACTTTCTAATATTAATTAATTCCCGTCTGCATTTGCCAATAAAGTCTCAAGTGTCCTAAAAATAACAACAGGCCCATCTTTCAGAATAGAAGTGCCATGGTGTGTGTGAGCTTCATTGTGAGCATGTAATGAAAAGACGACTATTAATAGCGATTGACGCATGTTTTAGACCCCACTGTGTGAGACAGAACCTCTGCTGTGTGGAGCCACTCAGGCTGTCTATCTACTGATGATACCAGAAGTCCCTACAGATGCCGAAATGTCTCCTTAATTGCGTTCGGGTGATTCACCGATCCTTTTTTTGCCCCTGACTGCGGCTCAGGGGGCTATTAAAGCCAATTGTTGGCCCCCAATCACGCCGACATCAATGGGAAATGCTCAGTGCTTGCGCACTTGTATGTATTTTAGACCATTTTTATTTAAGAGCTTTTTCATATCCCCCCCAACCCCCACCCCACCCTCCCCACTTCTTGCAATGAAGTGCGATGTGGGGGTGGGTGGGTGGTGTGTAAGCCAAAAGGGTTTTGAAATGAGGCTCAGAATGTGTTAACGCCAGCAGGAGCAATGGAAAGCCAAAAGGTTCTGCATGTACTGTCAAACAGGGTGTACAGGAGAATGTTTGAGATGCTGTAGCTGGTGATTAGGAATGAAATGAACACTGACAGGCATGAAATTAATGTCTCCACAGCTTCCCACAAGGAGCAAAGACACACTCTTCAATCCCAGGCCTGTTACAACAGCCAGACAGTGCGTAAGGATATGCCACTGTTAGAATTAATTAAGGAACTGAAAGGTTACGAAGAAATCACAATTGCAACACAGGCTCCTCTATATCAGTAAACCGCACGGAGATTTGCCTTTCCAGTCCCCTTGGATTGCTAAATAATAATAATAATATAATAATAATAATCCTTGCATTCGATATTGCACCTTATCACTTCTTTGAGACGTCTCAAAGCGTTTCACTGTGAAGTGAAATGACTGTGGGCGAAACGTGACAGCCAATTGCGGGCAGCAGTGACCCGCAAACAGTTGTGGATTGAGTGGCCAAATTATTATTTTATTTATTTTTTGGGAGGGATTATTACTCCCGGAAAAGCGATCTGCCAATTGAGTAACAACCGGGTTCCTACTTACTGCTGGGTTTACAGAGGCATATGGAGTAAGGAAACTTACCCAACGTTTTGGACATTGAACAAGTGAAAGGGATGGGATCAAACCAACAATTGTGTTGGTTGATAGGATTTTGGCCTTCAATAAGAGGCTCCCTTTGCCTTCTTAAAATAGACCCAAAAACATATCACAATATCTTGGCATCTTTCCGACCTCTGTGATCACACGTGACCAATGGTGGCTTTCCAAGATGCTTGCTAATTCTGAAAGAAGCTCCCAGTTGAAAACCCTGTGTGATTTTGAGTCAAAATGCATTACATTATTAAGCGGGGATCTAACTTTAAATGGAGTTGCTATCCAGAGGGACACTATAATTCACTACCAAGAGAGATAAGAGGCATCAAAAGCTACTGAAAGCCACCTGCTTCATGCACAGCATGTTTCACAGCACCTTTAAGAATATGAGATTTGTTTTGATCAGCCAGGTGTCTGATACATATCCAACCAAGTACCCTGCCTTTCCAACCCGGATGACTAACGCCCCCCCAAAAAAATCTGGTGTTAAAGACATGGTTACGACTAGGTAAGACGGGACTGTTTTAGACTTGAAAGGAAATGCCTCACAGGGGATTTTATGCAAGATGCCAAATGGGTGAGAGAAACTAAACCCACATACTGTCAGATACACCAACACAGGTGTATTATGCGCTATGTGTAAACACATGTGTACAGAGAAGCGTAAAGGCCACTTGATTATGCAATTCACAACCACCGAACATTTTTGTCAAAAACAACAACTTTCCACTGAATAATGACAGAATGACTTCTGAAAAATCCTTCTGCCAAATGGGTTTCACAATGCTTTGTACACTGGTTTGCCCATGGTGCATAATAGCTTAACCTTATTGTCTGCTGAAGGTTAGAACCAACCAGACATCAAACCAGGGCTCCACCATGAATGATTCACGATCGGCATTCAATTTAAACTCACCACAAAAAACCTATTGTGGGTTGATTCACAGATTTCTGCTCTGATCTGAAAATAAGATAATAATCCCTTCATTTGATACACTATCTTATTGCGTCATTAAGGCGCTTCACAGAATATATTGTAATGTGAATTGACTGGGTATTTTGTGGGCGAAACGCGGTAGCCATTTGCGCACAGCAACATCCCCACAAACAGTCGTGGATTGAGTGACCAAATGATTATCTTTTTAATGAAAGGGATTATTACCCCTGGAAAATGATCTACCAATTGACTAACAGCTGGGTTCCTACTTCCTGCTAGGTAAACAGAGGTGTGTGGAGTAAGAATATTTGCCTAAGGTTTCGCCCTGCTTAGGAATTGAACCCGTGTCCTCTCACTTGCAAGGCGAACACGCTAACGACTACGCCACAGGACTCCACAAGGGACACTGGGGCATGGCTTACCCTTTGCAACAATGAGTAAAGATGCATCAACTTGGGGTGATTTTGTCCTTTAAGTGCAAAACTGCAAGATGGTGAAAGCTAAAGGTGAAATAACATGCCACAAAAAAATGTCACCGTCAAGTCATACCTATGCTGGATCGCGTGTTGGAGCGTTCCATGATTGTCCTCTTGCTGGGATTATTTAGGACTGAACGTTTGGCGAGAGAAATATCTGCCGTCACCCGCGTGATTGATATCCTGTAAGCAACAACAAGAAAACATTGCTCATTGGTTGTCATTTGGTATTCAATAAGTTGCTAGTCCTGTGAGACAATCAACACATCGTCTTTTCATTCAAACCACTCCATCTGATCAACCTGCACTAATAATAATTAGCGTACACGCTGATAATAATAATCGCTGCATTTGATATGGCACTTTATCACGTCATTGAGATGTCCTAAAGTGCTTCGAAGGGTACACTGCAAAGTGGATTGACCGCGTATTTTGTGAGTGAAACGCAGCAGCCAGATGCACACAGCAATGTCCCGCAAATAGCCAAGGAGTGAGTGACAAATTTCACTGTTGGCCAGGACACTGGAAGAAAGAAACTGCCTTCTCTTTTCAAATAGCGCCCTGGGATCTTTAACATCCCCCTAAACAGGCAGACCGGACCTCGGTTTAACATCTGATCCGGAGGACAATGCAACATGACCCCCCCATCCCCAGCATTGCATTGGAGCGTCAGCTTAGACTATTCCCGAGGTGGGGCTTGAACCCATCACTGATTCAGAGGCGAGCTTTCACAAAGCTTTTTGGGCCTGATATCAACTGTTAGCATCGTGGGGTTTGGCACAGAAAGAGTTACACCCATGGTAAAGAGTCTCTCAAAGGCTCCACCAATGTAAGTGGTGACATTGCTTCAATAAGCATGACATCTGGTACAGTGCGTGAGACTAATTAATAATGAATCCCTTCCCGGATACAATATTAATCAGAGCAGATCCCAAATTCTGAATAAAATATGACTGGCACATTGGAAACATCTTCAGAATTGGTATTAAGGTCCGAAGTACGGATCTTTGAATCAGATCGTTTAAGAGCCAATTCGATGAAAGCAAAACAGAGAGAAATTTAAAATTCTAGGATAATTTTCATCAGCTTTTATTGTGGGATGAAGACCACGAAGATCACTTCATCATTTTTTTTTTAAACCTTAATCAGACTTTAGAATAAAGGAAGATTTGGTTATCAAAACATCTTCTCAAGGCAAAATTGACCACTTTTTTGGTCCGTGTGACAATTATCACTGGTGATAATTCCGCGCAATAATTCTGATGCATGTGAGAACTGTGACTTATTTTATAAAGCGTTTTGTGCCTAATATTAACATTTAGCTCCATGATAATTATCTGGAGATGTGTGCACGTTGTTTCAGCTGCTTACCTTCCATCGAACCGGTGCTTCAGGAAGTCAAAGAGAGCTTTCTGCATCATGTCTGTGACCTGGAAAGGGAAGGAGCTACAGTGAGGACAAGCAGGAAACGGAAGGGATATATTGAGGACAAAGTGAACTAAAAATATATTGTATCACTAAACCCCAAACAGGTTTAACACAAGTGTAGATTTGTGGAGTCCTGTAGCTCAGTGGTTAGAGCACTCGCTTTGCAAGTGAGAGACCTGGGTCAATCCCAGGCAGAGGGCGAAACCTTGGGTAAGTTTCCTTACTCCACACAGAGCCTAATAATAATCCCTCCAAAACCAAAAAACAATAATAAATTGGTCATTTTCAATCCATGACTGTTTGTGGGACATTGCTGTGTGCAATTGGCTGCCGCGTTCGCCCACAAATATACAGTCAATTCACTTCACAGTATATTCTGTGAAGCGCTTTGGGACATCCTCTCGACGTGAAAAGAGCTATATCAAATGTAAGGATTATTATTATTATTATTATTATTATAAGGCTGGGAAATGGAACACTATCTGATATTAGGTATCTAGAAAGAGTTAGAGAGTCAGACAGGAGTGCTTTAGAGAGAGAGTTGGCTAGCACAATGTAATGTTACAACAACAATAATAATCCTTACATTTGATAAAGCGCCTTATCACGTCGTTGAGACGTCTCAAAGAGCTTCACAGAATATATTGTAAAGTAAATTGACTGTGTATTTTGTGAGTGAGACTAAGAAAAAGACAGCATAACTCTTGATAGAAGGATTTTTTGGGTTAGCACTGAGGCCGGTTTGTATCTTGTACAATGACCAATTTTCCACAATGGATCCAGTACTAATCCGTGTGCAGTTGCCTTGTACACTGCCGTCAATTAAATGGGAAAGTGCTATATTTGACATCAGCCACCAGAGAGAGACAAGGAGCTCCACGAAAAGCACCACCCACCACACAGAGACTGTCTTACACATCTTTGTGATCTGAGAAGAAAAGCAGCTGGAGAGAGACTGATGGCTCGCCAGCTAGATCCAGTGGATCTCTTCCGGGGATTGAGATCACTTTTTTTTCTTTGGCCGGCCGGGTGTCTGACACATGCGGAAACCCACCACCATGCTTGAGACTATCCAAACCGAATTGAGAATTCCAGGGCGTCCCATCTACACATGGAAATTCCAGAGATAGATTGGAATGCGCACTCTCTCCCCGGAGGGACGAACCCTGCTTACCTAATTCCAGAAAGTATCAGGCGCAAGTTGGCAAGAGCCAAGGCTTGGGGAACTCCGAGTGTGCGTTGGGGTAACTGCTGGAGTCTGACCAGCTAAAACCACATAGCTTGCCATAGATATCGCTGTCGGGCAAGTTTTCCCGCTGCTTCTCCAGCTAGGACCACCCTACCCGCTAGGGTTTTAGCCTGCAGAGTTAACAGAAGTTGAGTGGGAGGATTCCCTGCCCCCAGGTCCTGGCGATGTGCTGTCATCAGCATTGCCCTGAAATACTGCAGACCTGCCTGGCAAGGAACTGGACTACAGAGACCGCCCCGGAAGGCTGGCTTGATTCCGACATTTCATTGCCAAACATGTCACCTTGGAGCCAGTTCAGCTCCAAGGAGACCCTGCTTACTTCACCGCCCCCCCCCACCCCCCAAGGAGGATCACCATGCTTAAGAGTATCCAAACCAAACCTCACCTCATAACCTTTCAGCGATGGTCCCACCAACACAACTGGTCTCATGGATGGTACCACATCATAAGGAGGAATGTGCTCGGTCTACATTAAAATGAGATAAAGTGAAATCAAGCCATGCAAACCCTAAATCCATTCATTCAATGGAAATGTTACTGCTGGAGAAAGTACCATCATCAGAACAGGATATTGTGTTAACCTCCTTATGATGGCTCCTTTTGGTCAGTAACTCCATCAACTCTTACTACAAGCAACAACACAAAGGGTTATCAAGATATGGAATGTATATACACCCAGTGAATATTTAAGTAAGGCCAAATACTTTGCGCTTGAAGGAGAAATAGGTCCTTTTTTTTTGGTCAGCCGGGTGTCTGACACACACGGAAACCCATCACCGTTGCTCAAGAGTGTCCAAACCAAACTGAGAATTCCTGCATCCCACCCACACGTGGAAATCCCAGAGATAGATTGTTGGAATGCAATGTGCTCTCTCCCCTTGGAGAACAAAAATAAATAGCCCACAGATTAAAGATAGTAAAGGGCATAGGGAAAGAGCAGGGAAACAGAGGACGAGAGTAGATGGCTCCTGTGGGGAATAAGCAGCATACAGGCACACTCTGCCAAACGGCCTCCTTCTGTGTTCAGTTCTCTAGCTTTCTTTGACAGTGAGCAGCTCTCCACTTGTTAGTAAATTATCCGACCTTTACAATGGGTAACGCAATGGGGGGTGGGAGGGGGCGGTGGGTGGGGGTAGGGCACGTGTGTGTCTGTGTGTGTGTGTGTTTGTGTGTGTCTTTGCAGCTGAAGACTGGCAAATTTGCCGTTGACACAAGTGGTCTTTGAGTCGCCCTTGGGCCTCAGAATTTAGCCCCATTCCCAGCATGTCAACGAGAAGATTCTATGTTTTTATAATAATATGAATGTTAATAATAATAATAATAATCCTTGCATTTCATACAGCGCCTCATCACGTCTCTGAGACGTCTCAAAGCACTTCACAGACTATACCGCAAAGTGAATCAACTGTGTGTTTTGTGGCCGAAATGTATATTTTTAGCTATTGAGATGAAATGACCCACCGCTGTGAAGAACAGACCCCAGAGTTTGAACCGCTTCAGTGGCAGCACAATAATCTGCCTTACCGCTTTTCCTCTTTAAACCCAGCAGTTGTCGGGGATTTCCCTTTAGTGGCTGTGGAAGCTGAGATAGGGTTGGGGGTGGTGGTGGTGGTGGGTTCGGGTGGGGGGGTTCTTAATCACGTGCAAAGGGCAACAACAGGCGTCTAAAAATCCTTGCATTTGATACAGCAAATTATCACGACATCAACTCGCTTCCCGAGATTTACTGTGATGTGTCGTGACACATTACAGTAAATTGAGGGTATTAAGGGAAATGGTGCAAGGGCGGGTAATTGGAGTTGAGAATGGCTTCCTCCTGTCTCTCTGTTCCTATGACTGTGTTTTGTTGAGAAGCGGGACAGCCAATATGAGTCCCACAAACCGGGCGTGTAGTGAATGATTCATTTTTATCTGGTGGATAATTCTCACACCCAAAAGGTTGTGGAGACTGGATCCATTCAAATTTTCTAGGTAAGAGTGTCAAGTAACATGGGGCAAAGTGGGTAATTGGGATTGAGGTATAGATCAGCCATGATCTGATAGAATGGCGGAACAGGATCGAGGGGATGAATGGCCTTCTCCTGTTCCTATTTTCCTAATTATTGGCCCATTATTGCAATCCTCGCTTTTGAGGTGGGAGCCTTTCGCGTCGGGAGGACGTCTCAAAACACTTTGCAGAATCTCCCTGGATGTGAAAGTGACCCGTGCATTTTGCCGGCTTGCAAGTAAACTCACCACTTTTTGTTTCTGTTTGGCTGTAACAGAAAAGAGAAGACAAGAAAGAAAGAAAAAACATTTTTAAGAACAGATCGGAAGTATCTCAGGGTCAGTACCCAATGCAACTCAACTGCAATTTCCTCAGATTACATGTCAGATGTCAGGAACATGGAGCTCCTTAGAACTGGAAAGGCAGAGGTACGTGTACCTCTGTGCTTCCAATCGCAGAGAACAGAGCATTTATTATCTAAAATTAGAATTCTGCCCCAATTCATCCGGCGAGTCCTTAATAATAATCCTTTCAATTGAAGTAGCGCTTTTCACGTACCCAAAAAGCTTTGTAGGATTTTACTATGAAGTGCATTGACTGTGTATTTTGCAGGCCAACACGGCAGCCAAATCGACAGCGGTGTCCCACAAACAACCAATGGAGCGAGTGACCAATTTTATCTGGTAGGATTGTTGGTCAGGGCACCAGGAGAATATCCCTTCTCTTTCTTCGAGTAGTGCAATGGGATGTTTAACTTCCACGTGAACAGGCAGTCAGAACCTCGGTTTAACATCTCATCTGAAGGATGGCATCTCCGACAATGTAATAATAATGATATAATAATAATATAATAATAATTATCCTTGCTTTGATACAGCACCTTATTACATCTTCGAGACTTCTCAAAGTGCTTCACAGAATATACTATAAATGAATTGACTGTGAATGGCACTGCATTGGAGTGTCAGCCTAGACTATACGTGTTCAAAGTCCTGACGTGGATTCTTGAGCCCACAACCTTGTGACTCAGAAGCGAGATTGCTATCAACTGAGCCAGGCTGACACACAGAGACGGTGAGTGGAGCAATTGCAAGTGGCACATTCCAGGAAGGATTAAGGGGAGGGAGAGAGAACATCACATACCAGAGACCATATCCCCGAGACTTGAAGACGAATTCCCACTCGACTTCCTGGAGGCCAAATCAAACACGAGAATGAATTAGGAGACAGAGAATATAATGACAGGCAATATAAAATCCAATACAAAATCGACGTGATTCCTTTTGTGATTTTATATCATAGGAATAATCAGAACATAATAATAATAATAGTAACAATAATCCTTGCATTTGATATAACGCCTTATAACGGCGTTGAGTTGTTTCAAACCCCTTCACAGAATATATTAAAATTGAACTGACTGTATAATTTGGGGGCGAAACTCGGCAGCCAATTGCACATAGCAGTGCCCACAAACAGACATTGAGTCAGTCACCAAATAATCATTATTATTATTTTTAGTGGTGTCTTGATATTGTGTTTCTTGATGTTGTGGTCTCCGCGAGAGTGAAAGTTTGCTTCCTATCTGTCCCACCATTGGCAGGCAGACTTTCAGCTATTCTGCCACCCTTCCCCCCTCCCCTCCAACTCTCCAACAATAATAAATTACATTTGTCTAATGACTTTCACGTCAGGAGGATGTCCAAGGTACTGGAGAACTCCATCCTGGAGTTTCTTCAACTTTTTCCTTTCTCCTCTCTCTCTCGATCTCCCTCCCCACGTTCAAAGCCCCACCTCAAGATGTTCTTAAAATGTTAGCTCTTTGACTGATCTTTCAATCATCTTTTCTCTTCCTGACCCTCTATCCCTCCCGCCCTCCCCAGCTTAAATGCCCAGTTAACAGTGTCATGTGCTTTTGAGATGTCCTCACGACCTAGTAAATCCTAAGTAAACGGAACTTTTCTGCAGGAAGATGGGGTTTACTTGGAGATTGGTCCACTCGACCTTGAGTTTGAACAGCTAAGAGAAGGCTGGAGCAAGTTAACAATTCAGTCTTATAGTATACAAATGACTTGGACTTTCCAGCACCTTTCAATGTAATTAAATGCCGTAAGGCGCTTTGAGAAGGTTAGTTTGATCACTGGTGGGACTGAGCGGGGATAAGGATACAATAAAGTCTTTTAAGGTACGGAAGGGTAGGTAGAGAAAAACGATTTCCTTTAATTGGAGGAATTCAGTGACAAGGGTATACTGTGAAGTGTAGTGACTACATATTGTAGACAAATGCAGCAGCCAATTTGCCCACAGCGATGTCCCACAAGCAGCCATAAAATGAACGATCAATTTTACTTGAGGGGGACTGTTAGCCAGGACACCGGAGGAGAGAAACTCCTTTCTCTTTTTGAATCGTGCCATGGGATCTTTAACGTGCACCTGAACAGGCAGACGGGACCTCGGTTTAAAGTGTCATTCGGAAGAGGCGTCTCCAACAATGTACGTTGGAGCGTCAGCCTAGACTACGTAAGTTAAAATCCCAACGTGGGGCTTAAACCCAGAAAGCTTCTGTCTCAAGAGGGCGAAAAGTGCCACCAACCGAGCCAGCCTGACAGGTTAACCTCACCTCCTCATTTCAGCAGAGAGACATTTAATTGCACTTTATGTCGCCATCACCTTTGGTTCCTATAGTCAGCGAGTCTTCCTGTGCGCTTTGGTTCAGTATCAATTTAAAGCATACCTGGAGCCAAACCAATATGTCTTGCACAAAGCAATGCTCCACGGGGCACACACTAATTGGGTTAAAGAATGGAGCCGCACAGCAACCGAGTAAAAGATTTCCGGATGAAAGCATTACGAAAAGCAGGGATCCGAATCAGTCTAAGATTTGATTTAAATTTATAATAGTAATCCCTCATATTTGATATTGTGCCTTTCATATCGGGAGGACATCGCAAAGGGCTTGGACAGGATGTACTGTGAAGTGTTAGTGACCTCCAGTCATCAAAAGTAATGCTCCTTTTTAATGTAACTTTCATAAGATTTTTCACCAACAAAATACACAGTCAATTCACTCCACAGTATATTCTGTCAAGAAGTCTCAACAATGTAATAAGGCATTGTATCAAATGCATGGATTATTATTACATTATTATTTTTCTATGAAGTGTTATGACTGTGTATTATTGTTGATAAACCCAGCAGTCGGTTTGTCCCACAGTTAGGAAGTGAATGGCCAATTTGTTTTTATTTGGACAATTCTTATCCAGGACACCTGGAGAGAGAAACTTCCTTCCCCTTCGTTTGAATAGGCAATAGTATCTTTAACATCCAACTGAACATACGAACTCATCCTCGGTTTAATGTCTCAACTAAAGGACGAGACCTCTTTTGACAACGCAGCATGCCATTGCTTCGTACTGAAGCGTCCATCTCGAGAGCTCAAAATCCTGATGTGGGGTTAGAACCCATAGCCTTCGGACTCGGACGTGAGAGTGTTACCAACCGCACCAGGCTGACATCTGAATAATATCCAGCAAGACAAGTGTGTGTGCATCTTGCCAGTGTAAAGGTTGCGGAACAGAGGCCTGAGTCAGAGTAACAAGGAATCAGCTCACACCTTTGATTACCACATATGTTGCTATCCCGATCCCAGTTGCGTCACAGAGTGGAGGATTTTTGGGTACGCACTGCTGCACAGGGTGTTCACAAAGCCCTGTTATCCCCCTGTTTTTTTCCTTACAATAAATGTTTATTTTCTTTCGCAAATGAGTTTAACAATGTCTGACACCAGTAACTTCCTCCTCACTCGGATCATTATCTGCCATGAAAATGATGGAGCTCACTCACACACACACCTCTGGATCCTCTGGACAGTCTAAATACAGTTAGGTACTGAATACAATTAAGTCCTTCTGAATACAATGATTATCATTCCACATGTTTTAGTTGTTAGTCAGCGCGCTGTAGAAAAAAACATGGGGGAAACACGACTCTGGAGGGTGTTTTATTCACAATATATCCCTACTTGTGACTAACAAAAAGCTGGAGTTGCGATCCGTTAGATAATTTTTTCTTTTATATAGCGATCCATTAATATTGCTGCACTGTAGCACCTCATATCCTTTCACAGCTCTTCTGCTTCCATTATTATTGCTCAGGCCGACGCCAGGTCAAGGCGGATCCACAGATCACGCCTCGCTTCTTACCCGCCATAAAAGCGTCCCTGTCTCGATTTCTGCTCCCGCTGGATTCGGATGTTCTCAAGTTTGAGGGGACTCGGGATGAAGCCGATTTCGCAGCCTTCTTTTACCAGCCGTCCTATCCACCAGTCATTGCTGTACTTCTGTGAACACAAGACAAGGGGATTTGACAGACTTCATCCTCCGAATGTCTTCATTCACAATAAATCCCATCACAGTCAAGTAGAAATGTCTCTTCAGTTACGGCTGCCCTTTGCAGAGTTCAGAAAATTATAGCAATATTCCTTGTGTTTGACAGAGAAATAACAATAATCATGCATCTACTATCAATGCATTCCAAAGGAAAATAGTTCTTCACGTGAGGGAGAGGGAATAGAAGGGTATGAAAGGGAGTAAGGAATGGGTGGAGACTCCTGTGGAGTATGAACATCAGCAGGGACTAGTTGGGCTGAGCGGCCTGTTTCTGTGCTGTACATTCTTTGTAACGATCCTTGCGTTCCGTACAGAACTCTTAACGTCAAGTCTCAAAGCGCTTCACGGGATTTTACCTTAGACTTAATAATAATAATCCTTGCATTTGATATAGCGCCTTATCACATCTTCGAGACGACTCAAAGCCCTTCACAGAACATACTGTAAAATAAAGCGACTTTGTATTTTGTGGGCGAAATGCAGTAGTCAATTGCGCGCAGCAGTGTCCCACAAACAGTCGTGGATTAGTGACCAAATTATTATTTTTTTGAAGGGATTATTACTTTCAAAAATATTGTTTTTGAAGCGAGTTACGCAAGTTCAAAGTTTTGATGTGGCGCTTGAACCCACAAGCTTTGGAGGTTCGTTGACTTACTTCTTTGATGTGCAGAAAGTCTTTGGCATCAAACGAGATGGCAGTTCCTGGGACTGGCACATCCTCGTCCAGGGCTCCACAGTAAGTAACGTTTGTTCTTACAGCAAATGCAACAGGTTTAGTCTGGGGGGAGAAACGGACACCAAATGTATCAATGGTAGACTCTGAAAACACAGTGTGTGTGCTCATGTATGTACGTGGGAGAGAGAGGCATTGAAACCCAGTAGGAGAGTCCAAGTTGATCCAGTACTGATACTCTGCTTCACACCTACCTAACAAGCTGTACGATTCTGATAGCTTTTGTTAATTGTGCGCTAGGAACATCTAATAACAATTCAGCTACTCAGTTGGGCAAAAGAGCAGAGTTACGAACAATGATTAGCCAAGTTAATCGTCAGCCTTGAGAGAAGACGTATCAGTGGGGACTTCATACAGATGATAACAATTGAAATGGGATTGAAAAAGTAAACCCCGAACAATAATAATATATAATAATAATCCTTGCATTTGATATAGCGTCTTGTCGCGTCACAGCGGTTCACAGAATATGCTGTAAAGTGATTTAAAAAACAGCTTGATGCTGTGATGGGAGAATGGCAGAGTCGGGTGTCTGGAAGGATGAGATCAGATGGGCAAAAGGGCCTTCTTCACCTGAACCAATCTGGTGACGTTGTGTGAGTCCAATGCAGCATTACACCTTATTGCCAGAAAGGTTCAAATCAGAGCTTGACATCCTCTATGTTAGGACACTGTGATTGGTCTCAGTGGAGGTCAGAGAAAGGAAGATTTGCCAACATTCTCTTTCCAGTGACACTGGTTAGTAAGTGCACGACAGGATCAATACAGGATTGACAGATGGACCGGATGCTGTGATCGACCAACCTGCCACATTCACTATCTCGGCTCCTAAATTAAGACTGTCCAACAGGGAGATGTATTAGAGGGCAACTATGTCAGTGGAACTCTATGCCAACAAGAGTTAATGCCTTACGAAGAGCAAGACGGGAAGACAAAGCAAGAAAAATTGGGGGATAAAAAACTAAAAAAATCACCATGACTGCATCCACCTTAACTTGCAATGTCCAANTTTTTTTGAGACATTTGATCCTTTCTGCAGTTCTAATTAAAACTTTAAGCATCCTTTGGAGTTTGGTCACAGAATCATAGAAATTTAGATAACATTCATGTCTACTGCCCACTTGAAACCTACACTGGGCTCTACCTCTACCACCTTACATGGCAGGCTAAGGTTTATTTTTTGGCCAGCCAGGCGTCTAACACATGCGGAAACCCATCACCATGCTTAAGAGTATCTAAACCAGACTGAGAATTCCCTGGATCCCACCTACACATGGAAATTTAAGAGATAGCTTGTTGGAATGGAATGCTCACTCTCTCCCTGGAGGGACACATCCTGCTTACCTAATTCCGGAAAGTATTAGGCAGGTTGGCAAGAGTCAAGGCTTGCAGACCCCGGGGGGTGTGTTAGGGTAACTGCTGGGAGTCTAACCAGCTGTCCAGTTAGGCCCACACTTCTTGTTACTAAGCTCCGAGACGCCACCTGGGTGAAGGACACTATATAAATGCAAGTTGTTGTTGTAAGCTCCTGAATAGAATTGATGTACCCGCAGTGAATAGAATGTTTCAACCTCCCCTGTTCATGCGTAAAAAGCAGAGCGGGATAAATGATAGACCTACAACAGACCGCTAATACTGGGGTGAAAATATTCAGCGTGGGATGTGATAATTGAAAGAAAGAGTTTGGGTTCACACCCAATTATTATGGCCTAAAATTTGATGTGTCTTAACAGATTTGATATGGTAATCAGCACATTGTCACCCAATCAAATCTGCTATGGAAAAAAAAATTGTTTTTTTCATCACTCCAAACAACTGTAAAAATTAGAAAAGTGGCCCAAAAAATAAATACATCACTCACTTATCATAATTAAGGTGCAGCAGATCAGATCAAGTGGTGTGTATACGTGCAATGGTTCTTGCTGTCTGAAGAACACTCAACGACGTATAGATTTGTTATTTTCAGGTCAACATCAAAAGCAACCAATTTACTCAGGAATGATTTATAAGTGGTCATGTCGATGCATAAATTACTGAAACGAGAGTTGTACCACAATGACTTTGAAGAGCGAGAGATGTTCCCAAAAGATCAAAATGAACAAAGCTGGAAACAGGTAAAGTTAGCCCAATTTTCAATGTCACAGAGTAAGGAACAATTAATTATCCTTGCATTTATTACAGCACCTCATCACGTCATTGGGACGCCTCAGGATATACTGTAAAGAGGATTAACTGTGTGTATTTGTGGGCGAGATGCAGCACAGAGCAAAGTCCCACAAACAGCCATGGAGTGAGTGAGTTTATTTTATTTGCGGGATTGATGGCCAGGACAGGAGGAGAGAGAAACTCCTTTCTTTTCGAATAGTGTCATGGGATCTTTCACATCCACCTGAACAGACAGATGGGTCCTCGGTTTAATGTTTCATCCAAAGAACGACACATCCGAAAACCCCAAGTCAAAGAAATATTTTTTTTTGTTCTGAAAACCTGGATCCAAAGTCACTGTTTGACAGAAGCATAAACTTTAAGCCCTGAATAAATAATAATCATAACCCATACCACCCATAAGTCTATACATCTTCCTTTTAAACACTCCATTTGATTCTCCCTTTGCCAACTTATGGGGCAGGGCATTCACTGTGTGAAGAAATGTTTTCTAATCACACTTCGAATTGGTTTAGCTCCAACTTTAACATCTTGTTTTGTGTTCCTTTACTGGAGCAATCGCATGGGCCAGAGATTAGATCGAGGGCTTTCCTAAGCAATGAGCCTCAGTGGAGATACCTTTTGGTCCATTGAGGAAGCAGAGAAGACATTTAAGGCTGCAATACATTTCAGACTCATCGATCAATGTTATATTTTATAGGTTAGAAGAGTCCCAGTGCTGAGAACACTACAACTCTACTTGGCCCCAATTTGGTAGCAAGCTCGGTCTCTCTCTCTTCCTCTTACTTTGGCCCTTTCAAGTTGCACCGCTGCTTGTTGCTCTGTTTCCCGACGTATCCCATCTCGGTCTTCCTCCAGAGAAACATCGGAATCAGATGGTCTGCTAGTGTAGGAATCTGCTGAACCCTGAAACGAAAAAAATCAGACCGGGGCAAGTCAAATAATAATAATAATAATCCTTGCATTTGATATAGCGCTTTTCACTTTCGCTTCACAGAACACACTGTAAAGTGAATTGACTGTATATTTGTGGGCGAACGCGGCAGCCAATTGCGCACAGCAATGTCCCACAAACAGTCGTAGATTGAAAATGACCAATTTATTATTGTTTTTGGTTTTGAAGGGATTATTATTAGGCTCTGTGTGGAGTAAGGAAACTTGCCCAAGGTTTCGCCCTCTGCCTGGAATTGAACTCAGGTCTCTCACTTGCAAAGCGAGTGCTCTAACCACTGAGCTACAGGAAACCACAAACCAAATGACCATCAATTGTTGAGGTATCACGTTTACCCTAAAGAGACGTCAATCGTTTCACAACCAAACAAGCTCAAATCTAAAAGTCGACATCGATCATTATTCTCCGAGGAGAAGGAGAAAAATGGTATCGTCACAACTTGTTATCTCCCAAAACAGATTGTAATAATATCACAATTTTCATCCCGTCTGTCTAGAAAGTGTGGCTGATTAATAGCTCTTGGAGATAGCATTGGGAACCATAAATGACACAGATTAGTGACTAACAAGAAAATTAGTACAAGCCTCCAATGTAGAACATAATAATAATAATCCTGGCATTTGATATAGCGCCTTATCACATTGCTGAGACATCTCAAAGCTCCTCACAGAATATACTGTAAAGTGGATTGACTGTCTATTTTCGTGGCAAAACGCAGAGCACAAACAGTTGTCTATTTTTAAATAAAAATGATGGTTAATCCTTTGTATACTCAGGACCCAGATAAGAATCCCAGTATAACTTTTCCATGGAGTGTGCCCTGAACTTTCTCAGGTTATAAAATAGCATCAACGCTCAGACCTTGCTTATTGCCTGACTTGCACCGAAAACAGGTAAGACTGAGTGCGAAAGCCCCAATACATCCACTGCACAATTCTTTGCCACAGATTCCCTCACGCTTCTCTTGCAAACTGAACCCATTCCAATCAGAATAGTAATAAATAACAATGATCCTTGCATTCGATGCAGCGTCTTTCAAGTTGGCAGGACATCTCAAAGTGCTTCACGGGATTTACTGTAGAGTGCAGCGACTGGGGATTATGTAGGCAAATGCGGTAGCCAATTTGAGCACAGCAACGTCCCACAAATAGTGAGATGAATGCAGCGTTAGCTGGGTAAACTGGGTGGCATTTTCTCACCCTGTTTGTGCAGTGAATTCCTTCCATGTGCGTCAATAAACCATATGGCTTTGAGAAAGAAATCTGGGCCAGAATCTTATACAACAGTATTTAACATGTTGACCTCCACACATTTGTATAGCACCTTTCATATTGGGAGGACATCCCAAGGCGCTAGACAGTCAGGGATTTGGAATCGAGCTATGGGTTAGGATCAGGAGGGGTGGAGGGCAGGGAGGATAGGAGTATCGGGATGACCAAACACGCAATCAAAGAGGAGGGTTTTGAGATGGTCCTTGAAGGAGGCAGCAAGGGAGGGAGCTGTGGGATGGAGGTCAAAAGAATGGGGCCAGAAAGGCTGAAGGCCCGATCGCAAATGGTGGGGTGGGCCAGATGGGGGACATGGAGCTGACCGGAGCGTTGAGCGGAGGGAGCGGACAGGCCTATCTGGAGTTAGCACGTCCCAGAGATAGGGAGGAGCAAGGCTGTGAAGGCCCTCAAGGATTTTCAAGAGAGAGCCAGGCAAGGATGGGGGTGATAGGGTCACGGAGCTTGGTGCAGGAGAGGACACGAGCTGCAGAGTCCTGAATGACCTGCAATTTGTGGAGGGAAGAGTTGGGAAAGCTGACAAGCGGGGAGTAAGTGTGGTCGATCCTGGATACGATGAAAGCACCGTCAACCCAAGGCTCACAATGGATTCACACTTTAATTTGCACATTGTTTCTGATCGAACAGATTCTGTACCTCGCAGGAAAGCACAAAGTGTTCTCAAAAGAGGTTACCAACCAACTTCCACCTAGATGAAATACAGCTTCCAATAACCAAGTGTATAAAAGCAGATTGTTACAACGCACTGGGAAATTGTTCCTCTACCTTTTGCAACTGGGTTCCAATCTAGGTCAGACTTTGAGGGGGGAAAAGTCTACTCTGTTTGGCAACTGAGAGGGTGAAATGAAAATGGGATTTGACAATGTCGACCTATCTCTGGGAGGGATGGGGTTATAAATTCGCAGCACAAAGCAGCATTCTGTACTAATAGAACATCTCATCGAGCAAGGCTGAATCAATGGCAGATGTGCATCACATTGGTGCATTGGTTGCTCTTTGAAGTTAGGTTTCATAACAATAATATTAATAATAATTATCCTTGTATTTCACATAGCGTCTTAGCACGTCATTGAGATGTCTCAAAGCTCTTCACAGGATATACTGTAAACTGGATTGAGTGTGTATTTTGTGGATGAAACACGGCAGGCAGTTGCACAAAGAAACATCCCACAAACAGCCATGGAGCGAGCGAGTAGTTTTATTTGAGGGATTGGTGGCCAGGACACCGGGGGAGAGAAATTCTCTTCTCTTTTCAAATAGTGCCATAGGATCTTTAACATTCACCTGAACAGGTAAATGGGACCTCGATTTAACAACTCATCCGAAGGACAGTAACAATGCTGCACCTCTCTCGACGGGGATTTTATTCAACTTCTGGTCGATGCAGTTTCTGATCTAAAAGGTGATCAACACTAATTATGGGAAGGAAATGGTAGACAAACGTTGCAATGTGAAGTGCAAAGCTGGAAGATGTCAGCCTGGCTCAGTTAGTACCACTCTCGCCTCTGAGTTAGAAGGTGTTGGGTTCAAACCCTCCCTCTTTGGGGTTTGAGTACTTAAATCTGTTCTGACACCCCAGTGAAAGAGAATTGGGTCAGTCCCTGTGCCCTAATCAACAATTATCCAGATAAACTGATCGTTCACTTCATGTCTGTTTGTGCGACCTTGTGGGTGCAAATTCACTGCCACGTTTGCTTTCAAATATGCAGCCACAACACAGGACATCAATTGGCTATGAATTGCTTTGGATGATGTTTTAAATTCAAATGCAAAGGTCATTATTATTATTATTATCATTATCAATATCATCGTTAATATCATCATCAAAATCAGCATTATTCATACCGTCATTATTATCATCGTTATAATTATCATTATTATAAGCACGACAAAACAAAAACTTGACGAAGAACAAATATTTCAACCGGACAGAAAATTCAGCAACTCAAAATGTTCATCCAGTCAGAGACGCTTTTGCTCACTGTGCATTTCATTTCATCCAGTCACTGTTTTTGCTAAAAGCATCTTAGCATGAAACATTAATTGGCTTTGGCTGCAGAACACTGAATCAATGATCAATGAATTCTCTACACTAAATTACATGCTCACTTAGCAACAGCATTCGTTCCAGGTGACATCAGATGTATTTACAAATAAGGATGTCTGGCTTGCGGTATTTCTTTACGTGACTCCTTGATAAGGAACGCCATTGGAATTCTCATCAACCCACAGGAACTCTGCTCCAGAAATAAACCTTTTGGAACAGAGCTTCTGGAACAGAAGTACTTCAGGTCACCAGGGGATCCCTTACCTGACTTACGTCTAGTTATAAGTGTCTATTCGTACACTCAGATTCCATTTTAATAATAATAATAATCCTTGCACTTGATAAAGCGCTTTATCACATCTTCCAGACGTCTCAAAGCACTTCACAGAATACATTGCAAAGTGAATTGACTGTATATTTTGTGGGCGAAACGCAGTAGCCAATTGCACACAGCAGCGTTCCTCAAACAGTCATGGATTGAGTGACCAAATTATTAGTAGATAATTTATTATTTTTAAAGGAATTATTACTCCCGGAAAAGCGATCCGCCAATTGACTAACAGGTTTCTACTTATTGCTAGGTAAACAGAGGCGTGTGGAGTAAGGAAACTTGCCCAGCATTTAGCCCTGCCGGGAATCGAAGACATGTCTCTCACTTGCGAGACGAGTGCTCTAACCACTTAGTGCACAATTCCATTAAGAAAACACACCCTCAAGTGTGTAAGGCCAAAGTCACGAGATTTCTGATGGCCCCAGCCTTAAGACCATTTGTCTTAAACAACTTAAGGTCCCACAGAACTTGGGAATTTATAAATTGGGCCTTAATTTGGAAGCCAATTTTTCACAGTTCTGAAAAAGAAGTGACTTCCAAATTAAGACTGAATACAATAGCCCCTCCCCAACCTCTACCCCCACCCCGACCGCCCCCCACCCCATACACACACACACACACCTTTCCACACTGAGCCATACAACAACTTGCATTTATGTAGCGCCATTCACCTTGTACAGCATCTCGGAGCGATCGTAGACCCTGCATACATTTGCCTACAATTACGCAGACACTCACACTTCAGAGTGACTGCTGTGAAGCACTTGGAGAGATGTTATGACATGATACAGCGCCATGTCAAACGTAAGGAGTAAGTTTCCTTATTCCACACCTGCCTCTATTTACCTGGCATTAAGTAGGAAGCTGGTTGTTAGGCGATTGGCGAATTGTTTTCTGGGGTAAGTAAGTAAGTAAGTAAGTAAGTAAGTAAGTAAGTAAGTAAGTAAGTAAGTAAGTAAGTAAATAAATAAATAAATAAATAAATAAATAAATAGGTCACTCAATCCACGACTGTTTGTGGGACTCTGCTGTGAGCAATTGGCTGCCCTATTTCTCCCACAAAAACATACAGTCAATTCACTTTTCAGTGTATCCTGTGAAGCCCTTTGAGACGTCTCAACGATGTGATAAAGCGCGAGATCAAACGCAAGGATTGTGCCATTGTTTTTGATATTGCATTATCACTGAATTGAACAAACACATTAGGAAAAGAAAACGGCACAAATGCAACACACAAGTTTCGGGTTTAACGTGTGGCCAGCATTCTCCACTGCAACTCATCAACATCGA